TTTTTTAAGATTATTCTCAAGATTACAATCTAACTTTATCTTCAGCTAGTTCCTGAAATTGAACTGGCTAATCCTAGATTTCTGATTGTTCCCTCCCTGCTTAGATTTTTTTGGCTCTATTTTTTCCTGTTGGGGGATCTGGATTTATCCAGGTCTTCCAAAACGATGGGTGTTTCAGGTGAGTTTCATGTCAAATTAACACAGCTAGCTCTTTGGGAAGAGGTTTTCTCAAGTGAGAAAATGTTACCATGAGATTTTCCTGGAGGCAACTCTATAGTGAATTTTTTTTCTTTAGTTCATTTTTCAAGAAAGGATCTCACCCTAGGTATTTCTGGCCGGTCTGGAACTTGCTCTATATAACACACTGATCTTTAAAACCTAGAGAATAACACCTCCCACTGCCAACTCTAACACTGGATTAACGGCACTACCATAACGTATTGCACAATATTTGCTTAACCATGTAAAGATGTGTTGCGGGACTTCCGGGCAGGGAGAGTAAGTAGAAGGAGGAATTTAGGCTTGAAAGAAGAAAGAAAAGAGACACCAGGGAGATTCCAGAAGCCATCCAGTCAAACACAAAGGACACAGGAAAGTAGAACTTACAGAATGAAAGAAAGGTAAAAAGCACCGAGGTAAAACACTGATGAAAAGTTAAATTAAGTTAAAAGAGTACATGGGACAAACCTAAGCTAAGTCTGAGCATTTATAATTAATAATAAGTTTCCATGTCTTTATTTGGGAACTGGCTAGTAGCTCAAAGAAAATTCCAACTACAATAGCCAGTGATCATTGTTTTGATTAAGGATTGATGCAGGTGGGCCCAGTTCATTAGGAACACTGCGGATGGTCCTCCATGGCATAAAATAACAGACTGAGCTACCTATTGAGAACAAGCCGCTAATTAACTCTTCCATGTCTTCTGCTTCCACTCCTAACTCCAGTGTCATGCCTTCACTTACTGCTCTGACTTCTTTCAATGGTGATAGAGTGTTATGTGAAAGTGGAAAACACCTTTATTGTCCAAATTGACTGTGGTCATGGTGTTTTATCACAGCAATAAGAACCCTTATGAAGACAAGGGCATGTCTAGTATACTATCAGAAGACAAAATAAACTTCAAGACAAGAAAAACACCCATACTCATGAAAGAAAATAACTCTTAACGTGGGTGTGAGTGACATTATAACTCTGAGGAATATTTTAGGATTAAGAGAATTATTCCATGGCCCTGGAAGCAATAGTGGGCCTAATGAGATCCCAAGGATAAATCACTGGGTGTGTCTGCATCATCACTACTGAATAACCATTTCAGGGCTCTTTATTAGCATCTTGGTGTCATCCTGGTGCTTGGAGTATTTTCTCTATCGAACAGAGGTTTTCTTCATGACCTTAGGTGTGAAAAACCTCTTCTGAAGTTCAAGGGTTGCTTTTCATAACTCTGAGTCCTAAGTGGAGTACTGCCATGTACGTCTATTATATCCATCCATTGAGTAATTGTATTTCCTTGTTGGTGTGTGAAGGAGACCCCACACAGTGGGGGCTTCCTCCCAGACCCTGAATTAGACACAAATTGTAATGTGACAGCCGGCTTGTTGGGGTTTCTGTCCCACCCGGTACCCCACAACCAACAAGTCCCAAAGAAAATCACAGAGTCTACATTAGGTTATAAACTGATTGGCTCATTAGGTCAGGCTTCTTATTAGCCCTTGTAACTTATATTAATCCATTATTATTATCTATGTTAGCCACATGGCTCAGTACCTTGCTCAGCGTGGCAGCTCACATGTTACTTCTTCGGTGATCTGGGCAGGAATGGAGGAATGAGCTTCCTCTTTCCTAGCCTTCTCCTGTTCTCATTGCCCTGCCTCTACTTCCTGTCTGGTTGACCCACCTATACTTCCTGCCTGGCCAATCAGTGTTTCATTAAAATACATGATTGACAAAATACAGATAATTCTCCTGCACCACTTCCCCTTCATTTTTTTTAAAAAAAGGAAAATATCCATAGTCCATTTGATGGGAATGTGGGCATAGTATTCCAGGCTACTTCCTGCTTATTGGGGGCACTGATAATCTTATGGGGACCTAAAGAAAATTTAGAGTTATAATCAAGTCCTTACTGGAGTATCCTGTGAGTCTCGATCATCTCAGGCAGCAGTCTTGAATCTGTTCTGGATGTAGAGCTCAGACATCTGGGCCATCTGTTCTTAACGGGGATTTCTCAGGTGGTCTTCTTTGATCAAACTGGATTTTCCTTAACTCAGAATGAATCCACAGACTCTCACTTTCTGTGGAAACAAAAGCAAAATCTCTTCTCCAAAGTAACATACCTTTTGACTTCAGGTATTTTCAAAATACCTATCTTGGGTTAGTTCAGCAGCATTTATAAACAAAAGTCTTTTAGCAACTGTTGCTCCATCCTCAGCATTCAAACAATTCAAAGAGAGCATAATAGCATACAGCATTAAGATTCTCTGTGTATTTTCCATATTTATGTGGCTTTATTTTAACCTCTATTTCTTTTATTTTTACTTTTACTTTTTGAAACAGGTTCTCTGTATATCTTTGTCCTGGAATAACTCTGTAGACCAGGCTGTCCTTGAACTCACAGAGATCCATCTGTCTCTGTCTCCCCAGTGCTGGGATTAAAGGTGTGTGCTACCACACCTTGAACTCAGAGATCTGTCTGTCTCTGCCTCTCAGGCATTGGGATTAAAGGTGTGTACCACCACACCCTACTTCTCTTTTTCTTTTTTATTTTTAATGACTTTAACCTTTACCCTGCATATATTTTTAACACACTGTAAACCATTTAGAGGTTTTCTTCCTCTTTGAATCTCTCTTTACTGTATATCTTTCTTTTTCTGACCACATGAGCCTTTAATTTACTAAGCAATATGGAGAGCCGTGGCTTGGACAGCTAGATCCAGTCCATTCCTTAGCTTTCCAACCTCATGGCAGAGGGTTGCAAGAGCCATTTTATTGCCACAACTCTGTGGCGGTTCAAGGTCCTTGCCAGCAAGTAAGCTGCATCATTCTTCTCACAGACCACACTCAAGTTGGACTGCCTGCCTGAAAGAGTCAGAGTTTGCCCTGGCAGGACGGCCCAGAAAGCTGGCATTTTAAAACGGCACAGCTTTTTCCCTGCTATGGCTGAAAACCAAAAAGCATGCGTTCAGCTTTTCATCAACACCATTTAAGTGTCTTGAGGCAGGACCTCTTAAAAGAGCTGCAAGGTTTTGCAGCTAAAGCTGAGTCAGGAAGCCTCTCTTAGATGAGAGGGCTTGCTTGCCTCTAGCAAGCAGAGCAGACCCGAGAAATTGCTGCCACCAAGAAGCCATGCTTTATTCTTTTCCAAGCTTTCTCAGACTTTCTGTAGATGCAGTTATCCACGTGGGCGCCATCTGTAGTGAAGAGGCGAGCAGGCCTGCTTTTCGTCAACACACAAATTGCATTCACTGAGATATTCTTTATTAAGTGGGGAAGAAAAGTCAAAGTGGCTCCCTTCTGACTCAGACAGAAAACAGCCCAAATGACCTTGCAGGTATAATTTTTAACAGAAGAAAAATGGAGATCTGTGTTCAAATGGGTTAGGATTCAGTGGTAAAGGTGATAGAGGAGGAGAGGGAAGGGGAAGGGGACAAAGGAAAGGGGAAGCTGTATTTGTCCCAGAGGGACAAAGGACTCCTCTGGATACAGGGGAGACAGAAGCAGCACATAGACAAATGGCAGTAAAGGGAGAAACCCCATGTTAGGGTGAGGTGTTTAATTTTAATTGGCAAGGTCATTAGATGAACCAAGGGGAGCTTCTGATCACTGGACTTCAATATTTTAATAACTGGACGTTGGTAGTCAGCCTCGGGAGAAGGAAGTGGCCAAATAAGGGAATAGATCTTGGTGTCTAGCTTTATGCATGTAATCTGTTGTTAGCAAGGCAGAGAAAGTGGGGAGAAGGGCAAGGCCTGCCAGAGCCACATGTTCGAGTGGGCTTGTGTCCCTTTAGTGTGTTTTAATTATATTGGCAGAAATGGATGCATTGAAACTTGTACCCAAGTGTGAGAAAGTCATGAGATTTTACCTCATCCCTTATCTTCGAGGTTTCTTATCAAGCCCTACGTGTGTTTCCTATGTTTGAACCTACTTGGGGCCGGCTTCTCTCCTTTAGTCGTCTATCCCCAAGGGGCAAAAGATAGTAATGGACTGAGCTAACTTAAGGGCACTATCTTTATGGAAAGGGCAGGTGGTAAAATGTGCGAGGCAGTGAGTGAGTACATCCCAAATCCCAGAGTATGTTGTCTTACAATGCAGTGAAATCCTGGAAAGGAACCGGTTCATTCCACAGGGAACGGATAATATGTTAGAGCTTTTGTTTTAAAATTTGTTGTTGTTGTTGTTTATTTTTGCTTCCTTTCTTGTTTTGGTTTTCCGAGACAGCTTTTCTCTGGTACTATGGTCTGTCCGGAAACTAGTTCTCTGGACCAGGCTAACCTCCATTTAGATCCCAATTAGAAGAGCCGGCCACCATGCTAGGCTTCTTTGTTTCGTTTTGGGTCAGGGTCTCACCATGTAGCCCTGAAAGGCTTTGAATTCACAGAAGTTCGCCTTCTTCTAGAGAGCGGGCAGTCAGGACTCACAGCTGAGCTTTCCTAAAATGTTTTGATACTTTTCGCAGGCTGAGTACAGTTCGCCAATCAGGGACCATTTTACTTGAAGACGCCGAACTGTCCAATCAGGGTCGCGGATGGTTGCAGCGCGCGTGCCGTAAGCCTTTTTAACGCTTGTTACCGGGGATTTGTGTGAGTACCTGTTTTGGGCGACTGTGCGTTCTGTAACTGAGGACCTCTTTGGGAGGACACCTAGACACATCAGAAGCACACAATGGTGAGTATGCGTTGGGCTCCTGGAATCCTGGGGGGCGGATGTGGGACTTTAGCTGCTTTGTAGTTATGTGACGCCAGCACGTGGGGTTTCCTTTGGCGCTGTGCAGTCCAGTGGAAGGTGGAGTCTGGCTCAGCAATGCCTGTGCCCACCTGTGCTTGAAGTGTGCACCCCACAGGCGTCCTTGAGCCCCGAGTGCCCCACTTTTGTGTCCTGTGAAGCCGCTTCATCACAATCCCAGCACTCTTGGGTGAGTCCTTGCCGTGAACCTGTGCTACACGGATTTTGCAGCGCTGGCGGGTTGTTGATCCAGCTTGTTGATTATCCAGGTTGTGCTGCGTGGGGAATTTGGGTGGTCTGTGGAGTTTTCGGTTTGCGCTGGTTTAGATTTTTTTTTTTTTTTTGTCATTATTACCTTGGATTTCATTTCACTCTTCTTCCCTCCCCCATCTGGTCTGACTCGGAATTGTTTCCCTTACCTCTTTGTGTGAGAGAAATTTCCCACAGAGCTGTCTCAGCTCCTTAACACCTCAGATATGGTTTTGCGTTTTCACTTTTGTTTTGTTGGGTTTTGTTTGTTGTTTGCTTGGTTGGTTTTACTTTAGTTTTACAAAATGACACTATTCAAGAAGTCTTTTCTTCTTCCCCTGACTGCAGTTGCCTAAAGAGAGAAATTTCAATTTGTTTCGCATTTTATTTGTTTGTAGCGGTTTATTATTCCATTTATTGAGAACATTTCTATTCCCATATGATATATCCTGATTATAGTTTCCCCTCTCCTATCCTTCCAGTTCTTTTCCCCTTCCCCTCCCCTCTATGTCCACTCCCTTTCTGTCTCTCATTAGAAAAGAACAGGGTTCTAAGAGATAGCAGCCAAACATGACGATATATATTATCTGCAAATAGAGATACTTTGACCTCTTCCTTTCCAATTTGTAGCCCCTTGATCTCCTTCAGGTGTCTTACCGCTCTAGCTAGCAATTAAAGTACTATATTGAGTACTTTATCTATTATTATTATTAATTAAACTACTATATTGAGTACTCATATCTATTGAGTAGATATGGGGACAGTGCACAACCTTTTCTTGTTCCTGATTTTAGTGAAATTTCTTTACATCTCTTTACATTTAATTTGATATTGGCTATTGACTTGCTGTAAAATGCCTTTATTATGATTATATATGTCCCTTGTGTTAAGTTGGGAACGTCGGTCCCAGTCCCTCGCATCTATCCCAGCCCCCAGGCCTGGTCTGGACTTCAAATCCCAGCAGGCCAGGTCCTGACCACTCCCCAGGGTACTTAAGTGATCCCCAAAAAAGAACACTTGGTCTCCCTTTCTTCCTCCTGGGGGTCGCGTTCCCGCGGCTTCCCGGTTTCCCACTCGGGGCTACCCGAGAGCGCAGATCTCCCATTAAACTTGCATATTTCTTAATTTGGCTTGTTTTGATTTGGCTTGATTGGGAATTTTTGCGTCGTCAGAGAGCTAATATTAGGAAATATTCCTAACACCTTGTATCATTAGACTCTCTTGGACTTTTTCCATGAAGGGGTGTTGGTTTTCATCAAAGTGACATCTAATGAGATGATCATGTATTTTGTTTTGTTTCCATTGTTTATATGGGGGAATACATTTGTTTTAGGTATTGAATCATCTGTGTATCTCTGGGATAAAACCTGCTTAATCATGGTGGATGATCTTTTTGATGTGTTCTCAGGTTTATATTTTACTGAGTATTTTTGCATTCATGTGTAAGTGAAATTGGTCTGTAATTCTCTTTGTTGGATCTATATGTGGTTTGAGTATCCGCGCAACAGTGGCATAATAAAATTAAGTGGGCAATATTCCTTCCATTTCTCTTTTGTGGAATAATATGAGGAACATTGACATTAACTCTTCTTTGAATGTCTGGTAGAATTCTGCACTGAAACATTTTTTGGTTCTGGATTTTTGTGTGGCGGGGGGAGAGGTGTTGAGAAACTTTTAATGACTCCTTTCTCATGAGGGATTATATTTAAATTGTCTGTCTGATCTTGGTTTAACTTTGGTAAGTCGTACCTGTTGAGAAAATTATCTGCATCTTAGATGTTTGCCTTCGGAGGAGAGAAGGGGGTAGTGAAGGAATTCAGTTAGTTTACCCTTCTCCTGGCCTGCTCAGCTGCTGTGTTCCCAGGGACTGACTGCTGGTGTTGGAGCCAGGAAAATGGGATGAGTTGGTGGCAGGAATGTGGGAGGAGAACGTCTCTGTGATCTGTTGGGGAGAGAGGAAAGGGAGACCACAGCAGGCTTTCTGTTACAGAGCTGGATGTGAGACTCTGGACTGGATCTCAGGAGCAGAAGGGGAGGTGTGGGTCACCTTCATCCATTGCCGTGGGAGGAGTGGCATGCAGTGATCAATTTTGAGATGAAAGTTGGAATTTTGCAAAGTTTTCCAAACTTTGCCGAAAATGAAAAAGGGCAGCGAGTATGGTAAAGAGCTTCATAGAATTAAAATTAAATTTCATTGCGGCTCCTGGTTTTACTATGTCCTGTTTGGAACGGAAGAGATTGGAAGTGCGCTTTCTGTAAGGAGTCATTTTCAAGATTACATTTCTGGGGGGAACGTACTAACATTTCAGCTACTTCCTTAGCTTTCAGATAACTGGGTCTTGTAGGTAATGTAATTTCTAAGCAATTGAAAAGCTTTGAAATGTTCATCGGAGAGAATGACAAGCAAGCTACTTACCTGCTAGAGACATTGTTTTGTTAAAAGTTGACTTGAGTGTGCTGTGCATTTATAATACATGTATTACACTTGTGTGTATGGTCACTATGATTTTCATTTTATCGTTGATTTTTATTTAGTAGTTAATATATTATTATTTCTTTCTTTTTGTTTTGTTTTGCTTTTGGCAACAGGGTTTCTCAGTGCAGCCCGGAAACTAGCTGTGTTGACCAGACTAGCTTTAGACTTGGAGATCTCCCTGGCCTGCCTCCTGCGTTCTGGGGTTAAAGGCTTGCTCCACCTCTTGTGTGCCAGCAGGCTTGCCTGGCTGTCACTGTATAGCCGAGGAGAATTCTGAACCTTGATACAGTAAACTCCTCCTCTCTTCCCTTCCCCACACTTAGTTTTTCTTTTCAGTCATACCATGTTCACCACATCACATGCCCACTACCATTCCCGTCTCAATCCCACCTACCCACAGATCCCATGGAGCCTGTCTTCTCCATGCTCTGTGTAGACAGACACTCAGTCCAGTTTGAAATCATACAGGAAGAGGTTAAAGATAGAACCCATATATGAGATAAAGAGACAGCATTTAACTCTGTGCCTTGCGGTTACCAGGCAGAGGATAGTTACATTTCCAGTTCCATCCGTCATTTTGGTTTGGCCATTACAGAGATGTATTCCAGCGTGCGCGTGTGTGATATGACTGTTATCTGGACATGAGCTGATGGACATCCAGACTGATATTTCTCTAGCCGTTGGGACTAGAGCAGCGTTGACCATGAGTGCGAGTATCTGTGGTAGGGTATGGATTGTTGTCATTATACAAGGAGAGCGAGTATCTGTGGTAGGGTATGGGTTGTTGTCATTATACG